AATCTGATACTTTGAATTTTTTCATTACTGTGGTACATGGGATCTGTACGGGAAAACGAAAATTTACTTTTTTAACTTTTTGAGCTGAATTCAGCAGGTGTTCCACGATTTTTAGTTTTCCAGAGCATTTTTATTATAATCTGAGCACAGACTCGAGATCCTCAAGTAAAAACGCATCGAATGGTATGTGTTTCTAGTGTATTATATTTCCGCATAGAAAATTTTGAGCAATTCTAATAAAAGCGGATTTTCATCAATGACGAACCTATCCATACTAGCTAGTGTCCTGCGCTCTGGCTCCTTTATGTCCATATTTGAATTTTGCATATAGGAATATGCAGCTGAGGGCGGCACATCGAATGGTGAAAACAGAATCTTTTCAAAAGGTTCCCTGACAGAAGTGCTCATCTTTCTTTGCATACTCCTAAGAGAATGTGACACGTGCAAAACTCTATCGATCGTTCTACTTTCGAAAATCTTCCAGTAATTCGTTGGCTTCTATTGGGCTTTCAAAAAAGGTTTCTCTTTCTGGCTAGAATGAAGAAATAAAGAAACAGGCACTTTACAAGAGCTTTTTTGGCGATGCTTGAGATTCAAATTTTTTCTTACTCAAACCCAACCACAAAAAGTTGGTTTTCTATGTTTTTTTGAAGATCAGACTTTGCTCTTTCCACAGAAAAATAATTAACTTTCCAATACATCAGAAACATGTAAAAATAATGCTCGACATTTGTCCAATTTACTTTTGCATCGTAGGTTAAAAAAGGGTAACGCAAAAACAACCTCGAATGTGTCGTATTCATGTCGTATGTGAGTTTTATACTCATTTTTGCCCCAGTTTTCTATGGCTTGAAATTACCGAGATCAACGGGCAAAAAAACGCGCTCGAGGTGTAGAGAAAGAAGGAAGAACATACCACGCCATTTCTGCTAAAATTGACAATGATGATGTACTCCTATGCACTGTGACAAGCGAAATGCGCAGTTTGAGACTGTGGATAAAGATCGGGTGAGGGTGTTCCAGACTTTTATTAAAATATTTGTTTTGTGTACTTGATTCTCATTCGATACACGAGATACAGATCCATTCCAAGTAATGAAAAAATTCAAAGTATCAGATTTCTGAAAGATATCCGAATTTCATCATTTCCGGAATTTTACTCTACTACACGAGAAATCTGCTTCTTTTACAGAAAATGAGAATGTACCGAAGAAATTCATCACAAGAATTTTACCTATATACAGAAGCATTCTTATAGAATCTCGTAGTATATAAACAATTTCTGAACTAAAAGTAAAAATGGTGTCAAATTCACGATTACCAACTGAGCTAATGTCATGTATTCTAAAGATCGAAGAAAATATTGAAAAAGGTACAATCAGAAATTGCTATAGCGAATGAAATATAAACTATGCATAATTGAATATCAAACACTTTATTTTAATCATTCAACATTCAATAGAACAACAATAAATATTCTCATTTAATGAAAAAGTCAGAATATTTCAATGAAATTTTTATGATCAGTTGAACTTAATGACTGTTTTTTGATGTGTAAATATAACCTTCATTCTGGAAGAAAAATTTCAGTATTATCTGTGGAGTAAATAACTTGTTGTACGTAGTACTTACCGATGTTGGATAGTTTATTTTACCGGCCATATTCCAAGATGTGCTCTTTTCTCCAACTTTCTGCATCTAAAATGGCAGACAAGCAAATCCCTTCAATTGAATTATTACTGAATGTAGACAAAAAAACCAACCATATTATTCCATAATTCAACAGCAGCTGCTTCATGCCCTTTTTGACTGAAATGAAAACAATCTGGAGAAAAATAACTAAAATCGGATTTGCCATCAGCCTTAAAAAAAATAATTAACAATATTGAACAATAGTCTCATGCATCTGATTTTTCTGTCTTAAAAATCGTTACCGTTAATGGTACTTTCATATGTTCCATGAACGGTTGTCGAACAACTGTAAAATCATCTTTTGTGTCGTATCGTCCTGAGTCAATCAATTGATTTGTACCCGATTGATAATTAATATTAGCTTGACGAGTAATTTCACGTGTTTTTTTATTCGTTGAACAATCACATATGATACTAAATAGAATAATGATAAACTGATTAGAAATATATTTCTATCTCAACAACTTACTTTTGCAGTGATTGACATGTAAGACCTTCATGTAAATCGTCTAATTCAGCTACATTCAATACGGTAACAAAGTTAACTAATGTACGAGGCATATTTGCGTGTAAATAATCAAGAGCTGTTCGAATATTACCCACATAATTGTCAGCACTATAAAGTTTCTAAAATCAAACAATAATAATATACTTAATTGCATTTTCATCCTCTTGACTAGTCATTTTTTTCTTACTGTATCTTTGCAATAAACACATAAATCATTTCCACCAATGAAAAACGTCACCAATTTCCAATCATAAGCGAAGTTAGCACCCAATGCTCGTTTAATACGATCGACTAATAAGACAGCTTGACTAGGCATGTCTCTACATTAGTATAGACAAATAAACAAACTGAACGATACAGACACTTTTCTTTTTACTTTGAAATAGCTCCTGCTTTAGCCACGTTGAATCCAGCACCGGAACTATTTCTATTACCGCTGCCCTTGGAATAACCGAACAATTGTGGATTACATTTTCTTAAAATATCTATAGTATAAAGGTAACGATCGATTCAGAGCTGACAACGCAGTCTTATGCTTTCTTACTTGGTAGCGTAACAACTTTATCAAGATTATCGTCACCGCCAATACTGAAAGATGTCAATATTTACTCACGAATTGTCAAATGATACACTTTACCTCCAAGAAACACCACGATATTCAACTAATACAGCAATAATGGAAAATGCTTTAGCCCCATTAGCAGCTGTTAGACTGTCACCCATTGCTCCCACATGTTTAATATCGGCTGGTCTCAAAGCATGAACTGAAAAACCACATTGAGTGATAAGATTTGTATGGCTGAAATTCTTTTACTATGTTACTTACCAGAGGATGGGATAGTTGAGGACGGAGTTAATACTCCAGAACAACTAACTCCGCGAGCAGTAGGAGCCAATGGTCCCTAAAGAAAAACTACATCTCAATACTTGGCACGTGAACATAACGACGATACCACGGCATACAAGTATTCTCATACGTTCGGCGTCGCTGTTTTGCCATTGAGGATGTCCAAGAACAACAGATAGAACTAGAAAACAAAGTCTTTAAATTCATCGAAATTTATCATTGTAAGTTGAAGGTGTGATATTTTCATACTATAAGCCCCACCCCTCTAGCGAGTTCCGCCTTTACATACCAGCGAGAGCTGAAACGATGTATGCGTAATGAAACATTTATTGCTACTGTTGTTCTTCCTTAGTAAAAAAAAGAGCTACAATTGTTTTCAATATTAAGCAGTACGCTTTTCTTCTCTAAAAGTATGACATACGGAGTCTTTCTCACACAAGATGGTATCATCTAATCGACGAATCATCTTCTCATTTTTTTCTTCCTTACACAGATTCATTTATCGTTTCAAAATTTTCATTCGTGCATTGACTTTCTATTGAAAATATGAAGGAATGCATTCTGAAATAGTATAATTAAATATAAGTAGGAATCTAGTCTTGGATTTTTCGACCTTTAAGATAAAGTGCATACTTTGAAAGAAGAAAAAAACAAATTTTTTTTTCAATGCATCAAAATATAGAGTAAGCATTTTACTATAAAATGATAAATGGCAGAGCTCTTCATTTCTAGCACCTCAAAAAAAAACGTTTATTAGTCAGACTTCAAAGATATACGACAAAGTTTAAAATAACATATAAATATTATAAATAATATAAAATAGGCTCGTAACATTCATTCGTACAATGTTATTGCTTGAAATCACATGCAACTTTACTTCCGTTCGGTGTGAACGTATTTCGAAGTACCATGTTTAATTCTATGTTCGTATATCAAATGATCTTCAGAATTTTTTTGTCATTATTGTTTGTATACTTCGAATGTGCGTCATTGATCTTGAAATTCAAGGCCTTGATTGTCCCAACTATTTATAACGACAAATTCTGTACCTTGACATAGAAAGAATGTTTATACAAACTATCGAAAGCGTTTTTTCTTTTTTTCTCTTTTTCTTTCTCTCTCTCCATATTAACATCTGAACGCGATCTCAAATTAAACAATTAAAAGAGCATCTCTTTGTAATAAAATTCTGACTTAAAAAATAATACAGAGAAGTTTTTCTTCTTTTTAACGCTCGATAATGAATTTATGGCGAGCAAGTATATTTTTAATCTATTCCATAACAGCTTGTCTTTTACATGCTTTATTCCCAAATTTATTTCGCACTAATCCTCATCAAAATAGTTACGTATCATTGAAAAATGGAACATTCGTCAAATTCAACGTCACTCAACTAATTCAGAAGAAGCCATCGACGTTGAAATACAATTGGAACAATTGGCTACACAAATTTAATCTTATCAAACATACAACACCGTTACCATGGCTGATAACAAATAATAATCAACAACGATTTGAAACGAAACCACGGCTTAAAACAAATTTTTAGATGAACGTTATTCTAAATATTACAGCATTGACGTTTGTTGTCAAGAACAACAACAATTAAATCATAGACTATTGAAAGCAGTAGTAGAACTCCAAGATTTGTGCTATCATCAACTAAAGTGAGATTGAGTATCTCTTCCTTAAAAGAGCAGTTCATATTCACAGACACGAATTTTTTCAAATGCAGAGTCGGCATCTGTTTCAAAAGTTATTAGTAGAATATCGAATAATGTGTTTATTTTCTTCATGTTAGAATTTTATTCAACGCTCTTATTACTTTGCCAATTGTTAACTGCTGTAGTTATAAGGTATGTTCTCAGTTTAGTTTAGTCTCTTACAATAATCGTCTTACAATCCAAGGTTTCAATAACTTCGACTTTTTTCCCAGTTCGTTGTTTAATAAACAAAAGTTTTGATTATAGGTTTATGTATAGTCAAATAAATGGACGTAATAATGATTGTTTAAAGATCTGCCATAAAAATAAGAACGAAAAAAATGTGAAATTATTTATCATTGAAATTTTTTTTTGTATAATCTTCATGTCAAAAATAATGTTTTATCAATATTGTGCTTTTCTTGTTTTCCGGATAAATGGTTAGTCAACTTTTTAGCAACACATTATTTGAATTAAACAAAACTGATAATATTCTACAGACTACATGTAATTGAACTTTTAATTATATATTTGAATCCACTGGGTTATTTCATTATTGAAAATCTTTGTCTACTAACTTGAACACCAATCAAGACAAAATTTATTATTAGTCAGCGATGATATTGCAATTAGTTGATGGATATTTTAACGGAATGTGAAGTTTTTGTGAATGTATTGCTAGATTAATTCGAATACAATTTGCTATGATAGTAGTTTATCAAACAAAATTCATGACCCTATTTACCAGATTATTTCAATGAAAAGTATCTCGATGATCAAGCAGACATCAAGCGATTGTTGAATTAGATTTACCGGCGGGTTAATTGAACGTATAAAGCGAACAATATGTATTTATAATCATAATAAAACGATATACAGTCAACTGATCAGTATACTATATGAGACTATACTAAAGACGCTGGTTCTCATAATCACCTCAAAATGGTATTGATCGCAACACACAATCTTTAAAATTTAAGTTTTAATAGTTTACAGAAGTCTGATTAAATGTATCCTTTTTAAATTGATGTATAATAACAGGACAAATAAATTCTATTTTATGAGACGAGATGATCATTTGATTTTGTTCACTATTTGTATCATTTGTGTATGTTTATTACAATTGTGCTTGGTATCTCATTATATCCACATTTATTTTGCTATGTATGAACCACTTCAGAACAAAAAAAAAGTGAAACGAATCATCGCTTGAAACAAATGTATAGACGTACGTTCATGGAGTGAAAATAGTCAGTTTGTAAAGAGACAATGGTAGTTTTTGACATTGATAGTTGAATAGGGTCAATGATTATGTAGTAGAGAAGGATAATATACGTGCTAATTGAATTAGAAAGAGAAACAGATGGAGACAATCTCTTAACGTTCCATGGGCAAAAGAATAACTGTTATGGTAGAAAATAATCACAGGAGAATTCTCTCCCTCCTCTCAAAAAAGGATTGGTGTTAGACCTTTTTTTTCACAGGTTCTTTTTTTTTGTATAAAAAAGGAAGATGATTGAACTTATGCTAATAGTTCTTTTAGATTTGGAAGATAAAACTTAGGCGCAACTTTTGAGACCTCATACAATTTGAGAAATTCATCTCGACACCGAAAAACCGATTTCCTATGAGCCAGCAATGATTGTTGAAAAAATGTATCAGAAATAAATATCAATGTGTATAGACCATTTTAAAATGCCAGATCTTCGTACCTTCTTCTACAATTCATTTCAGAATAAACTCTTCTCACTTTATTTTATTTTTTTCTATTGCTTATTTTTCTCAAAGATGCAGGAAAAGGTCGATAGTGTTTTCATTCATTCTTAAAGCTCTTCAACCGTGTCTAAAGCGCATCTGGTTCTTCTTTGAAAATGCGTACCATTCGCAAACAATGACAAATGAATTTGAGTATATTTATTTGTAGAGGATAGTCATCTGTGAATGAAAAACATACGTTTTAGTTTATTTATCAGCAAAATTATCTCTCAAAAATATGTTGAATACGTCATTTTTAAGCGAAGTGATTATTTGAACTTACTATTTTATTCACAGATAGATAGATATATATCAATCACCTTAACAGATCGATGAAAAACTCGATCTAAATATACGAACGTTAAATTAAATTTCATTGAAATTCATTTGCAATTTTGTGTCAAGCATATCCGTAGTTATGTCTAGTCATCATGTTAATCATATAAACTAACATGATACTCAATTTTTCCGTCTCTTGTATGTAGTGTTTCTTTCATCCTTGCTGATAAAGTCAAATGTAGAGAGGTAGAACTCAAATTCAAATTATTCACATTCAATCATAAAAAAATAACAATTAGTGTGATTATACTTTGAACAGGAAATTTACTCTAACAATGAACATTTGATAGATATACAAAAAACGAAAAGAAAAATAGAAGAGTTCTGTTCATTTCATACAATAGACAGAAAGAAAAAGAAAGTAAAAAAAACAGAGAAAAATATCTTAAAAAGACATTGGTAAAGAGTTCAATTGAGAAAGTGAACAGAAAGAAGAAAAAAGTAAAAATGAACATGCATAATAGAACAAACTATACATTTGATCTGATGTGCATCAGTAATAATAATCATGTCATCAAAGTCTATCTATCGTTAAAGTATGGAACCATAACGGAAAAAACCTATCTTCTACACTTGTGCTCTTTTGTCCAAGGTAAGTAATGCTTTTTTTTAGAAATTAATCGGCAAGATAAGAGACATAAGTTTTGAAAATGTGTTCATATTGATCAAAGAAAACAATTTTCCATCTTATTGTTCCGTTATACTAAAATAATAACGTCAGTAAAGTCACTAAAAGTCATATGTTAGAGTGAAACATTATATACTCTCATACATGTTATCGTTCAAAAACCGTAGAAATATCTTTAGAAATATCACATACATAATCCTTGAAATAATTTCCTTCATATATGTTCAATATTGTATACTGTTTATTCAATGTTGTAAATACCAGAGGGTATGTAAAATGATCATCTTGAAAATATTTGACATGATTGTTATAAATTAGCTTCAAGTCAATTGTTCAATGACATATCATACACATTCTCTTCACAGTCAGGTGTAGTTAATCAAACTTCGTTTGTTCACACGTATAGACAAGTGAAAGAATAATGTCTATTGTTTGCCAGAAATATGTTGCCCACGTTTTTTTTTTTTTTTTTTGTTAAAGTTCAGATTACATTATTCGATTTAAATAGTGTTATTGTACACTTTCTTTTTGTTAGAATCAGACAATCAAAAACAACATTAGATTTTTGCGAACTTTCCATTTTGATTGGATCATTTCAGAATACTAATAACAATCAGAGAAGACAATTGATCATCAAAACGTTTTATTTTTCAACCACTGTACACAATTGCTATTACAAGTATTATGTTTTTTTTCTTCAACAAAAAATACTCTGAAAAAACACTTTTCACCGGAAATTTTTCTCGACTCTATAAAAAGAATTAACCATTGTACCGGAAATCTTATTCGACTGTATGAAATATACCTTAAGATGATGATAAATTACTAATCATAACAAAACAGTGTATACTTATATATATATATAAGTGAATCTAGAATTTTATTTTCAATTCATTTTCTTCAGGATAGAGACGTCTATAATATAGCAAAACCGGATATCAAATTCAGTATCGATTAGTTGGTAATTCTTTAATATTTTTTCTCGTTTTACGTTAACGATCATTTTGCATGATAGATTCGAAGAAAATAGAGGATGTTTACATACGCCAAACAAAAAAATGAATCGAAGCTAACCTATACAAATAGTTCAGTTTTAATGCACTTTTTTCTATGCAGTATTCGCCTTATTATCGATTTTAGCATTCGATGGTTAGAATGATGCGAACTCTATTGAAGTTGTTAACTGTCTATTATGATGTGGTCGTTTTAGACAAATTCCCATTGGGGAATTAAGTTCTCATCCATAAATAATTTGTCGACATTTATCACTCTATTTACATCATCTCTAAGGTTAGTTAACTGATTTTTTTATACGCTTTTGTTTCATTGTTACTCTTTATATTAGTTGATGTGATTGAAATTGAAGGGAGATTTATTAATGATAATCAATATGTTCATATTTTATCGCATTTTTAATTCACTAAACTATCGTGTTTTTCTTTTTTTTATAATGAGCGTGTATGTTCATTAAAATATAGAATTCGTTTACAATTAAACTAGTTAATGTGTTTTATTCTCGAAAAGTCATCAATATAGTTGAAAAGAGATAGAATAATGTCATTCTTCTCTTTTGATTATTCTATTTTCTCGTCTCATCTCTCTATTATCAGAATGTTATTAGTTCTCATTGATTAACCTCATTAGCTCTAATGTTCAACGTGTTACTCCATGATAACGTTAAAATAACTAAAATTATTAATCTTGCCATGATTCCATTAGAATTATTTACAATTGATCATAGAGCTAAATTAAACTTGTACGATTTATATCTTAGTGATAGAAATACATTTTTCGTAGTTACATTATCAATGTCCAAAATTAGTCATTATAATGGAGATAATCACAGATAATTTCAATTATTTTACATTTTTTATAGTTTGAGTGTATATTGTTCAAGGATAATAAGAGTTTATCAGTTATTAAAAGAATCTTTAACAATTTAAAATTATAAATTTGAATTTAATTTAGATTACATCAGAAAGAATTTGTGAAAAATTTTGATAGTTGAAAACTTGGAATTTTGAGAAAGTTTGATAGTAGCATAGAGAAAAAAAAAATGTTTTTCTATCGATGTCTGTTTTATCATGAAATTACTCACGTTACAGATAGAACTAAGAATGCATCAAGAAAATATAATTACAAGTTAGAAATATCTTGCGTTAAGTTTACTTTTATGTAAGATCCTCTACTATCGGGTCTGTGTAGAAGGACAAATTTATTCAATAGTTGTTGTTGTTTTAATATTTATGAGAGAAAAAAAAAGGAAATTATACATATAATCCGATAAATGAACCTTCTATCGTTCAATGTCATTTTATTATTTATTTAAGAATACATCTTTATGACGTAAAAAGTAAACGTTATTGTACCACTTTCAATAGTCATGTCAATTGATTGATCCATTGATTTATTACAAACGTACATCTGTATCGAAAGTCATCATTAACAACATCATTTTTGTTCAAAAGATATATATGTAGTATAATGAATACTGTTCTATTAACGAAGTCATAAAATATTCCTTTCTTTTATTCATAAAGAAGAAGCCCTGTACACACCGTTTGTATTTTTAAAACTGTTTTTCTTCTTTTTTGAACGTCGTTTGAAGAAGAAGAAGAAGAAAAAAATAATTTCAATTAGACACACTACGTATACTATAATTCCCAAAAGAGTTTGACTCAAAATTTATTTGGATCAAATCTGTGACTAATCGTGAGAGAGTCAAATAATCACGACCAGTATTAACTTTTGTCATTCAAAAATAATAATAATAGAAAGATTGATGAGAGATACAATACACATAAGAAAGATCAAAAAACATTGATTGCATGATAAGTAATGAAATAAAATTGTTTTCTTCTTTTTTTTTTCTTCTTCTAAATTTACCTATAGGAAGAAGTTAAAATAAGATTAAATGTATGATGTACTTTACAAAACAATAGAGAATAATTTGTTCAGAATTTTAATCAGTAAAAATCAGAATTTTTCAAGTGAAAAATATGTGTAATAATCGAAATGACTAGACTAAATATGATGTTCACGCTAAACTCTAAGGAAAAATTGAGTTGAAAATGAGAAAACATACATTTCATTACTGATTTGAACTCAATAAAGTGTTCGCCAATCTTTCTCTATTGTTTTTATATATTTCTAAATAGATCGTCGTTATATTATTTGCCATAACAAAAATTGATCTTTTAAACATTAGTTGATATAGCCGTCGTAAATAGTCTCATATTACTATAGAAGCTTACAAACTAAAGTGAATTGTAATATAGAAGATTAGACCTTTTTGTGGTCAATAAGCTCAGGTAACACGAAATTCACATGCTGAAGTTCCATAAATATTCATTCATAGACAGAAGTAAATTACGTGAAAAAATATTATTAGTTTTATGATTATTTTCAAACTGCTATACACATAGAAAGAAGATGAACAGATTGAAAACAAAATACAAAAACAGATTTATACGAATGATGGAATAGAACCAACGAACTTACAGTTGTAAGACAAACGTATTTACTTTTGAACTAAATCGTACAAAAATGTGTAAAAATGTTAATTTCTCATCCTTTGTAATATGTGATGTTTGTGTTCATCCTGCGTCTTCTATGCTACTTATATCTCTCGGAGACTATTCGAATGAAACAAAACTGTTCATATTTTTTGTTCATATTAAATTTATTTGATTCTTTTCACAGTTTTATACAGTTAATAATATGAAAATTTTTTTGTAAATCAAAATTTATTGTATTAAACAACAGTATTTTATCCAGTTAATTCTGAATATTTAGATCTAAATTTATTTACAAAAAAAATGTAAAATATTTGGTATTAAAATTATCATAATGATGAAGATTTAATTAATAATAGAAAGGCAAAGGAGAGTGTAAAAGATGAGTGATGATTGGGAATATCTATATTGTGTTAATCTCAGTCGATTAAGTCACACACGTGACGACAATGATATTTCGTTATTATAATATATTCGTTTTACATGTTCTTATACTAATGTTATGTCAATATGTTGACGGTATTCATCAACAATTAGAAATAATGAGTAAGAACAATATAAAGGATACTTCTTTTTTAAACTAATATTTAAAATCTATTTTTTTTAGATGATTGTATATACAAACATTCGACTTATCCGGTAAGATATATAGTGAAAAACACAATATAGAATGTTGACCATTTTTATAGATAACTATTTTTGATTAGATTAATTCAGAGTGGGAAAATCAACATTGTCAAACTTGTAAATGTTTAAATAATGGTATTATTGCTTGTCAAAATCGAACATGTCGATTACAAGAATGTCAAAAGGTAAAGATGATCATTAATAAAATTTTAAATAAATTATTAAATTATTTTTCTTTTTCAAGAGTGAACAACTAACAATTGATGGTCTTGAATGTTGTCCAAAATGTTTACCATTGAAACAAACGTGTATTTATCAAGGCATTTTAATTCATGTACATAATCAAAATAGCTAATTATTTGAATTGAAATCTGAATTTTTGTTTTATAGCATAATACTGTATTTTATCCTCATTCATGTTATATGTGTCGGTGTCGTAACGGACAGTTATTCTGTGATGATCATTGTAACAATCAACAGAGTTAATATAAATACTATCTTTTTAGTATAATATATATTCAATTTGGTACATTTTTTAGATACTGGTTGTCTATTTCAAAATGAAATTAAACCGTTCAATACTACCTGGTCACCATTTCCATGCGTTATTTGTCAGTGTTTACGGCTGAACAGTAATCGATATCATTCCGTTTGCTACATTAAAGAGTGTCCATCTATTTCAAATTGTGACGGAGTAAGAAAACAAAAATTTTGATCAAATTAGTTGAATAAAAACTTGATGAAATTTATGTTAAGGATTTGGAATTTGTTCAAGGTGAATGTTGTCCAGTATGCAAAAAATCTTTATGCTCTGACGGTCATAAGGTAAATTAGAATAATATCATCAAAATTGATTTCATGCACTAGAATGGTAAAAAGATCTTTTTATGGACAGAGAAAGTATATTTTATAAAATAAAAAATATATTTTCTACTGCTCATGCATTCATAACCGAGACTTCTCAATTGAAATCACTTTTTATAATTAAAGAAATAAAAATGATCGCTGTTTGGAAATGGCATATTCTATCAATTTTGAAAAGTGATCTCAGTTTGGAAAACAAGCTTGTAGCTCCTACTTTATTAAAATAGAGATTCTTAAACTAGTTGTTAGTCCATTCAATAGTACCTGATACGACACCCCTTCCTTATTAGGTAATACAGCACAAACAACTAACTTCATGCTGAATTCATTCCATGTATGAATACTCGTAGCTTTGATAAAATAATTTTGGTGATGTTCTAAACGCACCATCTGCATTCCAGGGTGGATTAGCATTGAGAATCTGTAATGATGTTGGTAATGAAAAACCCAAAACTGTATAAGAGGCTGGATTATTACAAAAATAAAACACATTTAAAGCGAATGTATGATACACAAAAAGACTTTTGTTTAACGTAGACATTTCAATACATTGTTTTAGACTTTCACTTCACTCGATGTATTATATAAAATTTTTATTATACACAGTTCAGGAATCTATATTTTAATTAAAATAGGAGTTAGAAAACTGAGGAGTCTTTAATTATAAAGAGTGATTTCAATTAAGAATGAGCCATCCATAACAATGTAATATTTGTAGTCAACTTATCGAGTTGCATCGAATAATCTTTAACTTAATATTTTTAATGAAACAATTGATGGAAATTTTTACTAATGATATCTCAGACAAAAATGGACTAAAAACTAATTTTTTTCTAAAATAGTTCTTCTTTACTTCGTAACATAGTCTCAATGATATTAAACAATGTTATGATAGGAATAAGTGCTTCTTGTAATAAAAATGAGTATGTCCACCTAACTAATAGAAATTCTCTGCGCATTGATGAGTCGGGTTAACTGTAGATTTCATTCCTTGTTAACAAGATGATAAGATTTTAAACTACCAGAAAATTTTCTAGTTAACATCGGATTATTTTGAACAATGTCTAATTTCAAAATTTTCATAGAATGGTGATTTATGGAAACGGGACAATTGCACGTATTGTAAATGTGAAAACGGTTTTATTAGATGTACAAATGAAATATGTCCTGTTTATCATTGTAGAAAGGTAACTTTTCATCTATATTTTTTTCTTTATAATTAAAACAATGAAATTTTTGTTTTAGAATGAATATTTAGTTCATCGAAAAAATTCGTGTTGTTTGGAATGTGTTCGTCATACATGTTCATTTTACGGTGAAATATATTTTGATAATGATATTTGGCATACATCAGCTTGTCAATATTGTTCATGCAGGATGGGAAATATTCAATGTAAAAGTGTACAATGTCAATACCAGTTTTGTTTAGAGGTAACTATTTCGTTACGTTTTACAAAAATTGATAATATTCTCAGTAATTCATGTATTGAGTTCTTTTTAGAATGAAATAGAAGAACGTCGTCATGATAATTGTTGTGTTAATTGTCGTACACCAAAAATATGTTATTATCAAGAACAACTAGTCAAAGTAAGTGATATTTTTGAATAAATTAGATTATTTGACAATATATGTTTTAGGAAGGAATGTATATACAAACTGATAATTGTACATTATGTACATGTTCATCTCATAGTCAAATTGAATGTTATGAAAAGTGTAATAATAAAACAGTGATCACCAGACTTCTTGCTAATCGAAACAGAAGGATACAAATTGATCTAACCCTCTTTCACTTTCAAGACAATATTATACATCGTGCTAAACTATATTATCTTGGACGTGAGTATAAATCAAATTTATTTAACAGCATTCATTTATTTTTCTCTGTTATTTTTAGATCCAAAATTTGGTGTTCTAAAAAGTTCATCAACAAATTCAACACAAATGAATTTTGAAGATTTTCATGCGGGATATATTCAATATCTGCCAACAGTTTCCGCGAACAATACAGATATTGTATTATTGGCTATTATTGCCAATAAACATGTTTATACAGCTCTCATTCTCATCAATTTTCATTCACATTCTATCGTAAGTTGTTTATTCTTTAATATCCTCTAATTTGAACTGATCTGTTTGGTATTGTTCTATTGTAGCCATGGCCAATTCAATGGAATAGTACACATGTTTTCCAGGTCAATAATCATGTCCCAACTCGCTTGAACACACTGTTCATCGACAACAACATAGACGATTCAAAATACGAATTGATAAATAATACACTGAAACTTGGTGTGCTCTTCTTATCTTTTAAGAGTATTCTCCCTGAAACAAAAAAAATTAACTTTTGAGTAATGAGTCAAGTGTCCTTCATAACTCGCGATCGTTCCACAGCGGGCAATCAACTGGACATTAGGTGAAAAATTGAAAGTGCGCTTTTCTGAGATTTTACTAGTGCTGTACTTTGACATATGCACTATTTAATGGTGTAAAAAAATTTGTTTCTATTCGTCGGAGAACATACGAAAAAGTTCATGCAAAAACTTAGAAGTTAAGAAAGATAAAGCGTTATTGTCGAAACTAGAAACGCTTGATAAAAAATTTATACGAATTTGAACTTAGACCTTCCAAGCTATCGATTCATAAAATTTTTTTTTTATTTTGATGCTTTGGTGTTGGAAGATTGAATTTTCTTTCTACACTAAGGGTTTTCCGAAACGGTGTATAATTAGCCGTATAATTAGTTTTGCAAATTTTTATAACATTTCGTTAGAATGTTCTTCAACTTATTATACATCTATGCTGTTAGCCCAGGATAGTCAAAATGATTCTCAACAGTGCTATTGGTTTTTCAGGTAAAATCTATTTTTCTCCATCCAGAAACACTTTTATTTAAAAATAATGGCATATTCGGAATCAGCGCACGAAAACTGTATCGAATGATGTGCTTCTGAAGCATTTTTGAAGAAAAAACTAGTGCTAGTGACGTTCGATAATGCTTTGTTCGGGTTATGCACGGAAGTCACCCACGGATCTCGTCGGATTTTGTACATAGTAATCTGTGTTTGATAGTACACTAGGACACCTCAGCTCAGAGGTTTCGAAATAACCACCCCCTCTGACTTTACACTTTCGAGCAGCCGCTGAACGTCCTTTTGAGGCCATATTCACAGTCTGCTATGTTTGATGGATGTACTTGATCCCTCACCGTAGCGCAAGGTGGTGTATTGAGAAGAGTAGAGGAGGACAATGATTTTCAAAACGGCTCAGGAGTGGTGGTGGAACTAACGAGAAATTTCCTGAATTATACGGAGTACAACATTGAAACGAGCGTCCCCAGAAACCTATAAACACGTAAATTAGTATTTTCCAGTGAGTTTTATACTGGTTTTCTAGAACTGTGTAAGAAGTTTCCAAAAAGTTTTCATTGAGTAACGAAATCAGAACACCTCAAAATCATACAGAAAATCAATTTCTCGAGATGATGAACACCGTGTATTTGGTGTTAAATCCACCGAAAAACATACCGTTAGAAAGAACACATTTGAAAACCTATAAAAAGAGTGTTTATAGGCTTTGGTATCGTTTTTGTAGCAAATGTCCACTTGCCTAGCCAAAATTGTCCATCTTGCGTTCCTCGCCTCGCAACTTATCCGTTAGATATCAGTTATTCAGAAGTTAAAAAAAAGGATTTTGTGTGTTTACTTTTCGATTTAACTTTCGAACACCTTTGCTTTTTCTTTTTCAATTGAGGCACAAACAATTGAAGAAAACTGCTCAGTTAACAAGACTGGCCGCTTGGAAAAATCGGTAGTTCAAAAAAGAAAAGAAACATTTTGAAAGTTGAACAGTGGAGATTTCCCGGCGTAAGATGACAGAAATTCAGAAAATTTATATCTACTCAAGAAAAGGTTGTAGTGAGCTGGGAATGATCTCAGTTATAGGACACATGCACAATATAAACACAAAAGTCGATTTTTTTTGTTTTACTCGGAAAAAAGGATATCCTAGAGCAAAAATATGTACATATTCATGGATTTATGTAAACATTTAGGTGCTTTGGCAAGTAATGACAAATCCATGAATAATACTCATCTCTCAATTCGTCAGTTCACTAGTGAGCAATTAAATAGCGGCCTTGTATGGTACACACCAAATAAAAATATGTTAAAATTTAAATGCCCATCTAATGTTGCTGAAGAGGAATGTTCCAATTATGATAGAATGACATTTGATCATGGGGTATTTAAGGTAAGTATTTTAGTCTTATAATATACAAACATTGTTAGTTAAATGAAAAATAGATTTCGCCGATTGACGATGGCTATGGAAAGAATCATGAGAAAAAGCTTCTCCACTTTATGTTGACTCCAATAGTTCACCCTTCCAATTCATTGACAATGAACGTACGTGTATTCGAAATTATTAACAAACGTTTATTTAGGTTAACTTCCTTTTAGATTATCGCCGGACAAATGGTTCTATTGAACGCAAATAAATTGAATTTGACAGATGTTAATACTTCAGAATATTTAGATGTTAGACATTCAAAAGGCAATAAAGATCGTACACGAGTTTACTTTGCACATCGAGATGAACCTGGAATAAAAATTCATACGTTTACAAAAGGTGACCTTATTAAAGGGAACATTTTAGTAGGAACAAATATTGATGACTTAGTCGAAATTGAATCACCAGCAGTAACATATAACTTCGATCTAGTCGGTAAATAAGAACATTGCATATTAACAGTTATTAGAAAACAAAGGAAACTGAGCATTTCATGTTTTAGTTCGAAATAAAACAATTCCATTTAAAGTTAAAATCTTAACTGCTGATTTACAACCTCCACAATTTCGAGAGGACACATCGACAATTAATGTTATGCAATTAGGAATGACTCCTCTGTTACCATCTCTATTCGATGTTAATGATCCTGATACTTCAACATTCGAACTCAGTTTCATTCTTACTAAACAACCATCAGCAGGCTATATGCAGAACTCTATCGGAACAATATTTAAAACAAGTAAAAGTTTGATTTTTAAATAGATAAACATCGTGCAGAAATGCTTTTAATTAATTTCAGATGATCATTTCCAATATTTTGAACTGATAAATTACACTTTATACTATTTTCATACGAATGTGAATCAAACAAATGATACAATATCATTCAATGTCAGTGATGGACTCTATTCTGCTATAAAAACCATAATCTTTAATGTAATACCATTAACATCAACAACTATACTCACACGTTTAAATGAATCTTCGTTAGAATTATCGATTAATGAAGGTTAGTCTATTAAAATAATATTTCTGATGTGTAAAGTACCTTATTTTTCAGCTACACAAAGTGTTATTCAACGTCAACATATTAGTTACTCTAGTCTTACGTTAGATGAAATCAAATATAACCTTGTACAATTACCACGCTACGGTTATTTCATCAAAAATAATAAGCAATTATTATTGTCTGATACATTCACTCAAACTGATATTGATATGTACATAATACGGTATGTTTAGTAATTTGCAGAAAAGAAATATGATTCAAATTTGTGTTATTTCAGATATCAAGCACCAGCCGAAATTGGTTTATTTCCGATTAGTGAGAGTATCATCTTCAATGTTTCAGACATACAATGTTCCATGATGTTAATACAAATGCTTCTAATAAACATAAAACCAATTGATAATCGAGCACCAAAACTTTCACTTAATACAGACACAATTGAGGTTTATACTTGATAGAGAGTTTTGGATAAAATTTTGGATAAAAAAAATTGTCTAATTCTATTCTTCTTTTTCGTAGGTTATTGAAGGTGAATATATTTATCTTGATGAAAATGTTATATCATTATTTGATATTGATTCATCACTTGAACAAATTCAAGTTATTGTTGAAACATTCCCAATATTCGGCTACATTGAGTTAACAAATAAAAGTATGTCTTAAATTTAGGGTAATTGAGTGAAAATGTATATTTATCTATTATTATTTTTATCAGGACAAACTGTAAAATCATTTACTATTGTCGAGATGTTAAATCGATTCATTCGTTATGTGCAGAATGATCATCATAATAAAGAGCCAAAACGTGACAAATTCAAAATTTATGCTACAGATGGTAGCAATGATTCACCATTATTAACCGTCATCGTCAATATTAAAGTAGGTCTCATCAGATAATTTTGATAGCCAGAATAACATGTTAGGATGCGTTAAAGATAAATTAATTTAGTCCTTGCCTACAAATTAAATGCACTTGAATATGTGCCAACGCGTTAATGTTTAGCTATTTATGTTCGAACGTAGTTTAATAAAAAGAAAAAAAGTGGAAAACTATGTTCAAAATTACAAAAGTTTCAAACTTATATTGCGTTAAAATTACATTAAATATTTTACAATCGATAGTTCAATTTTTTGAATTTGTGACCCATGACAACACTTCTTTCGATCAGAAAACACGGAAACTCGATTGCTGAATGCGTTAGAACTATCATATATAAAAACATTTAACGCTTTTATTTATTATGTCGACAGATATTATGTGTTTTTTCTGAGAATTTTGTTTTTTATTTTCTTCTTCCTATCTTTCGTCCCTTTAGATTTCGTTTTCATTTGATTTATCTTAAATTTATCTTTTAAAGCAACTAAAATCACAACGAACGCGATTTAGTGAACTTCGTATTGACTACGGACCGCTTCTGGCAGTTTCAGATCGGATACAGTCTGTCGACATCGTAACTTGTGTGCAACGCAGTTACCCTCTAGTTCAATTTGTATTATCGTAACTTGAACTGTTTTTCTTTTCTTTCTTTTTTCTTTTCCATCATTTTATAATAACTACTTGCGGATCAAGACATTTATCTAACTATGGTTCACTAGACACTTTCATCAGCACCATTCTGAAAGATTATTCTCTTATACCTACATATGAGAAAAGTTTTTAAGTGAACATATCATATTCCTCGTAGGACAAGGCCCCATATGTATACAGGAGTTAGCCACGCAAAACAGAGGGTACTTGAAAAATTACCATTTTAACACATTTGAATGTGTGAACATATGAATGAATCATCGTATAATGGATTTGAGTTAGCTAAAAGTTATTCGTATCCATTCAAATGGGTTAAAATAAATTTTCCGCATTATTGTTCAGAGATTTGTTCAGGATCATTTGTATTAAAAAACGTTCTATGTCTTCATTAATAAAATATAAACGCGTCGGAACTTCTTCCATCTTTTGTATTTAACAGGATGTAACCTGTTAAGATTTGAAAGAAATTTAATTAATCCATGATAAATTTTGTATTCATTTTGAGAGTGTGTCTTTGTTTCAGTTGATCAATGATGAACAACCGTTAGTCGTCACTCAACCAGTTTATACATCCTCATTGACTCCCATATTATTAAACACAAATTCTATTCATGTATTTGATCTAGATACACCATTGACAAATTTAACTTTTACTTTAAGAAGCTTACCAAAATATGGTGATTGATATTTTGATATCAGTACAAGAGAAAAATATTTCATCTTGCTTCGTTTTATGATCATAGGTCACCTCATTCTCAATGATATTCGAGTAACTCTGATTAATACAACTTTTCCCTACGAATACTTGGTTAACAATCGTCTTTTTTACAAGTCAAAATTGAATTTAGTAAATATTGAAGATTCAATTCTAATGAGTGTATTTGATGGAAATTTTACATCTGAAACTAAAAATTTGAGAATATTAATTGATAATGGAATAAGATATGTATACTTAAAAAATAAAGGTTTATCAATGGCAAATGGTATGTATAGACTGTGATGTAACAAATATCATAAAATAATAACATTATTTATTAAAAATTAAGGGGAAAAAGTGACGATCAACAAATGGATGTTAAATCTCACCAATGATTTTATACCAACAGATTCAATTATATATCGTGTAACAAAAACATCCAATTTTGGACGATTGATAGTAAACACAAGTATGACGGATCATTTTACACAGACAGATCTTAATCAAGGTTGGTAAAAGACAATAAAATTGTTTTAAAGCTTTTATATATCTTTTTTATATTTTATAGAGCAAGTTATATTTGAACATTTGTTCTATGAAACAATTGGTGTCACATGGTTTAAGTTTGATATTTGGATTAAAAATCAAGTTCAACTTAAAAATCAAAAATTTATCATTTTTGTCAAAGGTATATAAATTTTGTTCTATTATTTTCTATAATTATTATTATTATATTCTTGATTTCAGCGAACAAGATTCCCCCAACAATGACTCAGAATCAAATATTTTCATTAGTTGCTAATAATCGACGTACTATTGAAAAATTCGATTTGAATATAAACGATGATGATACACCCATTGAAAGTATCGAATTGTCTGTATTAATATCTTCTGACTATGGTAGATTAGAATTCAAAGATGTTCCAGGTATCGTATAGCATACAATATTAAAAAAAAGAACAAGTTTTAAGTAGTATCTTATTGTTCGTTGTTTTCTTCGTTGTAAGGTGTGTCTATTAATCAGTTTTTCTACGAAGATATTTTGACTGGTCAAATTGTCTATACCGCTGTTTCAAATAATCATACAATCCCAAAACATGAACGTCTATTACTTTGTATTTATGATGGTAAATATAAGATCTATGAAACATTCAATATATTAATATATCCAGAAAATAGTATTCTACTCAATGTACGAGTATCTTTACCAATTTATGTTAAACATCATAAACGTGTTATTATCAATGAAAGTGTATTACAAGTGAATAACAATGACACAATTGCATTTGAAATTTATAGATTACCACACTACGGTCAACTAGAAAAGTTAAATAATAATAATATCAGTTGGACTAAAATTATGACAAAATTTTATTCAAGAGATATTAAAGCCAATCGAATATCGTATCGACATACCAATGATTCTTCTGCAATTGATATGATAATGTTGAAATTAACGAATAATATTAAAAAACAATATTATATTAATAGTTCTAAATCTTCTACAATAGTGGTAAGTTTCAAAACGTATCATTATCAATTATTGACTAGACTTCAAAGTCGTATTTGCGTAGAAAAGATGAAGTTAAAAAAGACATCAGAAATATTAGAAGTACATTGTTATGTTTAACACATTTTTTGCTTTTGAACAAGTATTTTTTCGGTATGTCGGTGCACCAGTGCGCTTCTAATTAGAAGCGGTACTAAAGTGCCGGTAAGAAAAAAATCTTTGTTGTTGGTTGATTGCATATTGAGTCATGTCACAATGTTTATTTATTTAAAAAAGCTTAAAAAATCTGATGAAAATATATTTTTGTCAAAATACAGTGTTAAACTTGTTTCACTGGTATCGTTAAACAATTTATAATCGATCCCAATTAGGCATGCACCGAGTAATTGACTAACTAAGGATTTTATATTTTTTCCAAAACCTGGCGTTTCGTTAGTTACTTCGTTAAAAAATTTTTGACTCGGTTAGAATATAGAGCAAACATTTCTCTATAAAATGAGAGATTGGACAACTCTGCATGATTTGTTTTGAGATTTCGGCAGTAATATCCCATAAAAGACTAATCGAGTACTCAATACTCGTTTACTACTCGATTATGTGTTCTTGAGGTATCGCTACCAAAATCTTAAAACAAATCATGCAGAGTTGTCCAATCTCTCATTTTATAGAGAAATGTTTGCTCTGTATTCTTACCGAGTCAAAAAAATTTTAACGAAGTAACTAACGAAACGTCAGGTTTTTGAAAAAATATAAAATCCTTAGTTAGTCAATTACTCGGTACATGCCTGATCCCAAAGGGTCAAAAATCTCAAAATACGTCTAGTTTGAGTTGCTCGTCATGATAACAGTACAAGCATATCACTGTAAAGAAAAAAATAAAGTTCATTTAGAGTTCTGGAAAAGTGCTTTTTCGTATTCAGCATACTCGATAATCCAATAGATTTTCTAGTTTTGGCGAGGGGTACTGTCAAAAGTTTAGAAAAATTTTTCGAACAAAATGGCGCAACAAAATTTCCATGGGAAAATATTATTAGTTTCTAAATTTTTCTTGAACTTTTGACGGTATCCCTCGTCAAAAATAGAAAATATATTGGGTTATCGGGTGTGCTGAACACGAAAAAGCACTTTTCCACAACGCTAAATGAACTTTATTTTTCTGTCGGTGATATGAAAAACGTTCTGTGGGCAGAATAATCTGTATCCAGATCTCTATTAAACCATATCCAAAGATTTTATAAGTATTTGAAGTTACTATTGATGAAGATATTTATATTTATATTTATATTTATTTATTTTTCGATAAATAAATAAATAAACAAACATTGATTATCTCGAGACTCGGCATGCTCGATCTAAGTTGTCTATTCGAGATTGAAATTGTATTTGTATCTACGATATAGAGAACATTCTACCATTGCTGTACGAATAAATTAACCTATAATTTTTTTTCTTTTTCTTAGGAAATAATCATTAATACTCAGAACGACAAAATCTTACTAGAGTCTACAAAACGACTACCAATTGGTATTTATTTTTTGTCACAATTGTCTGCAAATACCTATGGTCGTTTAATTTCAAATGAAGATCTTGGTATTGCTGATTTGAATTTTGTTAATATATTTAAAATAATCACAAAACCAAAATGTGGTCGTTTAGTTGGAGATGAACATAACGATATTGAGTCATTTACGATAGGTAAACTATATTTTTAACAATAAATAACAGTAAATTAAATTTTTATTTATAATATAATTTTAGACGATAAAATATTTTATATAATAAACAATAATCATCAAATCTGTTCTAATATGTTTGATTTATTTGAATTTATTATGGAAAACAAAATAGAGACAAAAACACGGGTTCTAATCGAATGGTCAATGACAATATTTAACACATCTCATATGAACATCACTATGAGTGACGACAACAAAATTCATATTCCTGTCATAAAAGTTGGAAGTTTAAAACAAGTAAGAAATATTTTTTCATTAAAAATTTTGATTTATTTAGTTTCAACTTGTTTTTCTTCTAGTTCAGTGTAGTTACATGTCGTATACGTTCAGACATGACTAATTCGAATTTAGATATACACAGTCATTCTTATAATGAACGTCTTATATTTGATGTTGGAGAATCAATGAAGATATGTACCATTATGTTAAACTCACGTCTAGAAAATAAAATGTCAACATTTCGTGTCGAATTAATAAACGGGAAATACACAATGTCGAATAATAAACACATAGATATCAATCTTGTGCCACAAAAACAAGGTATATACACAAAAATGACATGTGAAAACGTCTGTTTGTCATTTATTTTTATATTTTCATCGAAAATTAATTAAAATAGATAGAATGGAGAATGAACTTTAAATAATATAATATAAATACTTTACCACATTTCTAGATTTAATTGTCGAATTCTATCATGATATGATGTATATTACAAATGAAACAGAATTACTCTCTGTACCAATTATTGTTCATCATCAAACTTCTTCTCGAAGGGAAGTAATTGTCTATTGTTACGTTGAACAGCAACAATATACTGACAATTTTCAATTATTACCCGTTCGTTCACCAGCAATATTAATTAGAATTCCATTAAATTCAATAGAAAAACAAAATTTTGGATTTTGTAACATTGATTTATATAAAAATAAATTATATTCTAAAACAATATCATCATTTCTTGTACGTTTATCACAGTATTCAAATAATATTACAATTGGTCAAAAACGATCGGTATTTATTACCTACAATGTTCCAAAGAGTAAGTCGACACTATTGATGTGTTTAAAACTGTTATAACTCTCTCATATTAATAAACTATAGATATGTTAAATGGATCTGAATGTCAGACAAAGATAATCAATGTCAATAGCAATGCCGGTTTTGTTCAAGTGCAAATTAAGCGTATCATGACAAATATGTCAAGATCCTTAATAATTCATTGTACAACTAGTGAATTAGGCAAAGCAAAACCGTTCATTGATTATACGCCAATATCAAGAAAAATTATATTCAATTCAAACGAAAAAATAAAAGTAAAGTAACGTTAGAGATGCATGCGTTCTGGATTAACCTTCCCCCCCTCCCCAGAATGAAATCTTTTTGTATCAAAAAGTTAATTTGGAGACAAGCACATGGAAAGATAGCCTGAAGTGTCTGCTTTCAGAGTCTGTATCGCTTTCAGGTCTAGAACTGATTTTACGTGGCTTTCGAGCAAGTTTTCTAGAAGCCTTGAAAAACCAGGATCTTCAAATAATAATTTTTTTCTGGACACGTAGGTTTGTAGAGCAGACTTTTTTGATCAAAGTAAGACGTTGCACAACTCCGTATGATCTTGCGTTCAAAAATTACAAGTATTTTTCTACATGTCCTAAAACGGACCAACGAATGCACAGCGTTTTCTCTCAAAACACGTTTTTTTTTGTCTAACCTCGTCTACTGAGGTCCCTTTCTTGATAACGGTTCATCAAAGAGAGAAATTTTTTTTTAATCGAAAGAGCATAAAATTCTGCGAGGACTGATGGGAGCAGATTTTTTAATTAGGTCTTAGTTCCTTAGGAAAAAAGAAACTTTGGAAAACTTGAAAGAATCTTTCAGGGTTTTTTAGGATCTTGCGTCTCTAGAGAACCAATAAAGGCCTAATCAAAAAATCTGGTCCCATCAGTCCTCTCAGCTAGGTGTCTGGTTTAAAATAAAACCAACCCAAGATCTCTATCTTGAGCTGTATAAAGGAAAAGGGATTTACAGTGAAGGGTGGTTTTCGATCTTGGACTCTAGGAAAGAGATTCATGCTTTTTAAAAACATGAAACGTCTTCTCTTTCTTTATTTAGACATGTACGATACCAATTATCAACAGTAATCGACCTTTTACTCGTTCATTCAATATTTTATTATATGATGCAAGCCATGATTGCAGACTAATAAATCCAAATCGAATAATGGTGAATATAATCAACAATTTCATAAATATCAAACGTAAGTTTAAATTCATTCGTTCCTTCTTACAGAAGTCCTAATAATTATATTTTTATTCTTGTTAGAATCCATAATTGAATTTGAAAAAGGAAAGCCAATTGTTACAAAAGAAAATCGTTCCACGATATTTGTGTCAATTCAACGTAAAGGTGATGTTTCTGTACAATCATCAGTCATTTGTTTCACAAAATCAGCAACAGCAATACAAAATCAAGATTACATTGGACGACCGCTAAACAATTTATCTAGAATTCAATTTCAAATCGGAGAAAAGGTAAAAATATAGATCGAACCGGATATATCTTCTGTGATCTATAAAATAAACTGTCTTCAAATATCTTTTGAATAATGTTTGAACGAAAGATCTACAGACGTGTAAATTTTGCTAATTAATAGACGAGTCTTCTGCTACACAACAAATAAGAAAAGTCCTTTTTCAGATTGAGTTTTGAAACGCTACTTGGAAAACCATTTTTAGTACTAGAAAAGTAGGACTTCATTGATTTTTCACTTGAATGAATAGGTCTGTCCTCTTCAAAATGATAGCGAGATGATTTCTTGATTTTTGGTGGATCAGACATGGTTTCGGATTTCTCCAGTGTTCTGAAACTGGTCGTCAGTATCAAAGAAATATTGTGCATTTAGACAAACGTTTTGCAAAAACGCGACAGTAAAGAGGAAAGCTAATGAAATGCGGGCTGATGAACGTCAATATATTAGCTATCTTTTGCTGTATAAAGTTCGGCTTCAACTATAACAAGTGAGTATAAAAATCCATCGCAAAAAAAATGCTACAAAACACTGTGGGAGCGCACAGAAAATTTCCAACAAAAGGATTAATAGAGTATTGAATGAAAAGTAGCTTCGGCTCTAACTTAGTAGAGTAAAGAGAGACCGTGGTTAAAAGTTTTTAAAGTTTTCTTAAATGGATCGGGAAAAATTAATTTTTTTATTGGAACTTGGAACAGATAGATTCTTCGAGGAAGAATTAAAAGTATAATGAGTTTCCACATTTTCAAACTTGCCGAAACTTCGTTCATGTACTCTTCTGTGGTAGTTAACTCACTTTTCGTTATGAACAGTCGGTGTTTGATTTTAACAATCTTCTCATGCCAAAAGTTGAAATCGAAGTTAAATCGGCATTTGAGGCAATGCGTATATCTCTACGAAAAACTATTGGAAACCTTTGGACGACATCTCATTGTAAAGAAAACATTTTATCCTATCAGAGGATGTATAAGAAAATATTTTCAAGCTGTTCGAAATGAGAGAAAAATTTATAAAACAAAAAAAAGTATTTTTAGGTTTCAGAAATAAAAATTAAAAAGTTCATAACTTTTTTCAAAAATATTGTGGAAAGGTGGGAGTGGTCTGATCTTGTAGCCCAAATTTTTCTCTACATTAGCCTATGTTCAACTCGAAATCGACGTTTTTTTTCAAAAAAGAGAGGGATATCCTTAACCCTTTGGCTGCAGGTGACCTCACATTATCCTTAACCCTTTGGCTGCAGGAGGCCTCACATAATCACGCGTATTTATAAAATTTTTTAATAAACTGTAAATACACATTAATATATGATCAAGTATACAGCAAAATAGAAATTTTAATTTTTTCAAAAAAAAACCCGCAGCCCAACAGTTAAATAGAAAGAATTCAAATAATTGAAAATTTCAGCATGAAACCCATATTCGAGTGATTCTAGGGTAGTTTTCGTTCAAACGTTATTCACAAAATATCCAAATACAATTTATGTAAGACGATAGTAATTAGATGAATGTGTTTGTACATATACTAATAATATATAACAATTCAGATCTTTATGTATCTGAGTATTGTTAAAATTGGTACAATATGTTTTTCGAGTTTTATTTACATGTTTATATATGATGACTATCATCCGTTCCTTTTATTATAAGATAAAATTATGTCGTATTGAACTGGTGAATGATCACATTGTGGAATCCATGGAATATTTTTATGTACTACTTGCTGATGCAAACTCTGCCATACTTGGTCAGCATAAAAAGATAACGATTGAAATTGAGAGCAATGATGATGCAGATGACATAAAAATATTAAAATTAATTAATAGACAAAATAATTCTTGCATTCAAGCACCATTGATAATCGATACAGTCAATACAGCAACTATAAAAATTGAACGAAATGGTAATTTGAAACAAACGATTGATGTATTTGTACAAACAAAAGATGGAACAGCCTTAGCTGGTCTCGATTATATACCTCTAAATAGAATATTGCTTTTTGAATCAAATATTAAGTCGATCGATATTAATATTGATATTATTTATAATTTGAATAAGAGAAAAGAAAAACAAAGATTTTATTTTATTATGCAAAATCAATCAATTGAGATATGTATCGATAATACGTATAATGAAGATCGAATTAAAAAATCTAATTATGCTACTGATGCATATCGACTTCTATCAAATAAAACTAGTTTATACCATGAACAATTTCAAGCATTGCCCATTATTATGTTATTAGACAACAAAACTGATTTACATAAACAAAAACTATCAAATGGTCAGCCACTCATCTGTGTCGCAGTAAGTGAATGAGTATTGAAATAAAACAGTTGCCATGTATATCGTTTCTTTTATTTCAGGCGTGTAATCCACGACATCCCAATTACAAATTTATACATTTTCTTTGTACAAATTCTAATTCTCAAATAATTTCTTACGAATGGGAATTATCTATTCCTAATGATAACTATGGTACATACTCATCATTTCGTCAATTATCCAAACATCCGATATTTTCTGCAAATACGTCGATATTGAATACATTTTACTTTGGTCCAAAATATCGAATACGTTGTCTAACATATATTGATAAATATTCAATTCCATTAAGAAGTCCTGTTATTGAAATTGATGATACGTCAGTTAAATGTCCTTCATCGTCCATTTATGCTTCACTTTCTATTGTCAAATTATACGGGATAAATCAGACAGGTGTTCAATTATTTGTTGAAATTCCTCACATGTCAGGAACATATCCAGTTGTATCATTAATACCAACAATTAATTTCAACAATACGACGAATTTAAACACAATTCAATCTTGTAAAAACTTATTAATACCTTCTTCAACAACGAATATCATTTGTCAATGGTATTTTCAAGCAATATTTACACTTGATGATCTTTTAACAAACTGTGACACTCGAATAATATTTTCTAATGATAAATCAAATTTGATTGAACTTCCGTTTTATTATCAATATCTTGGATTAAATTCAAGTACTGTTCTACAACGAAACACTATTCAAATTCCATTTCAATACAAAACATTTTTAACATTAAAAAATTTACCTGAACAAGTTCAAATACTAAATGTTGATTCAAATGGTCTCTTGCATTTATTTATTACTATCAAAACAATTGAACAACATCATTCATTAAAAAATAAAGTATGTCACTTTTCTACTTCTTATAAGATTTGACCATTATTTTTGTAATTCAATCTGAATCTTTCTTTTTCTTTTAAAAACAACACAAGTTCCCTTTCTTGCTTCATTCACGGTCTTCGCTCCACGATCGCTAAGAAGTTGCTGTTGTCGCGGCACGATCGCGACCAACTCTTATTTTTGGAAAAAATTGTAATTCGGGATTGTGTCACGACACTTTTTTCTTACAGCGATCGCGCTCAGATCCCGAAGTCGCACCGTCATCGCTAAAAAGTCGCTATTGTCGCTTCACGATAGCGAATTACAAATTTTCGAAAAGTAAGACTTCATCGCGATCGCGGTTGCGAGTTTGCAATCCGAGCGCGATCACTGCAAGAAAAAATTGTCATGTTGCGATCGCATTTTACTCTTACAATCGCGGCATGATACAGCGTCTTCCGTGCAAATTCTATTCACCGTTTTGTTTTACTTACGCGCCTGGTATATAACTCTTACTAATTTTTCGAAAATTTTTCAAAATCTTATCACATCTTAATAATAGCTTACAACATGACTAATATAGTCTTGCGTAGTCGCATCGCGCGTACGCCATTCGTCTGCGTTCGCGGTAAAAGGAGCGTGGCTCATATACTGATATTATAAGAAAAATGCGAATAAATAGTAACTATAGTAAAATACTTGAGAATCATTGATCGTTGTATGAGCGCGAAAAAGTCGCGATAGCTAAAAATCACGTCTTATTTCACGAGTCTTATAACGAACGCGTTACGCGATCGTGCCGTGAATTTTTAAAGAGATTCGCGTCACGATATGCGACAAGAAAGTGGACTTAGTTGTTAACATCTGTTCGTTTTTATTCATTAATAGCTACAAGCCAAATTTTTATCTACAAGTCGTACATTATCCTTTATTATTCAACTGTTACCTAATACAACAACATGGCATATTCGATCAAGTGAATTAACAGTTGATTACTCCGGTTTCTACCTTTTTGAATTATGTTTTTCTGATAAATGTACACAATATCCAATGCAAATTCAACCGGAAACAATTTTTCCACTTTTTGATTCGGTGTCATCACTCGGCACATCCTTTATTCTAACATCACCATTTTTTATTACAATGTCAACTTCGTTTAATACTCCAGATCTTCAAACTAATGAATATTTTTCACAAGACGATATTATCGGCATTCTATTATGGAATAATTTATCATCAAATAAAACACAAATGAAATTAAACATATACTCAATTATTTTTTGTCGAATATTAAAAGAATCAGAATGTCACGATCACGATCGATTAATAATAAATCAATTTTATGAATATCCATTAACAATAAAAACAGATTTAATCTATAATACATTTACATTAAATACTCGATTACTTAAAAATAACTATGGTCGATGGTATATTCAAGTATTATTTACATTAATTTATCCAAAAACAGCAACATCAATAAATGGAAAAAATATTCAATCATTTTATTTAAAAAATGCAACAATTCAAATTCCATCACCTACAATTTCTTCTATTAATGATGATAGTGATAGAAAAGTAATATTAAAACACACTCATTATCGTTTAATTAAGCTATTATTGATAATATTATTAATTTTAATTTTCATTCTTTGTATTCTGATATCGATTATTATTTATCATAGAGAAAAACAAAAGATAAACAGTAAAACACAGACAAAATATTGTATAACTAAGCAACACTATGATTTTCCATCATTGGAACAAGATAATAATGATGATCAAAATATAAATGATGTGATGATTGAAAAATTTCAAACGGGTGATTTAACAACTAAAGTTATTCTATTAAATCATCGAGCAAAAACATCGTTAATGGAAATCGGAACCGATGTTTAATAATATCCTTCCATCTTGTTTATGTACACTAGTTTTTTTGCATCAAAATTTTTGTTTTATTGTGCTACATTTTCTATACTATACAAGTGTTCATCTTTACAAGTATTATAAAATGTGTATATAAAATGTTGTTTTTGGACATTTTTTTTTATTTGACAGCTAGCAGCATCTACTACAGCCTACCTTTCTTATGACGATCGCAAATATTTTGTCTATCTCTATTCTATTTACGCGGGAACATAAATTAGAACGATTTAACGATGTTATCCCAAAATCTCATTTTTTGTAACTGAAGTTTTTGTTGCAGGAATATTTTTTATAGTGCATCGGAAAGAGCACACTTCAGTCTATTGCAAAACGTCTCTCTGACATTTTTCACCGAGGTTTAATGGCAAAAACAGGATCAGATATCTTCATTAGTTTGTGTTTGAAAACTGTCAAATTTTTCGCCTTTTGTATTTCCCGTACACCTCCGTCTTTTCTCATTCCACAAAAGTAGTTTACCGGTGGATTTGTAGTAAATTGAATGAAGAATTCACTGAAAAAAATCGCAGGTCGAACGGGTTTGAAATGGCGAAGTTATTTACAAAATACTGAAGGTATCATTTATTCTGGGCCACTCGGTATTTCTCGCAATTTTGACTACTGCTCTCCTAGTTAAAATTTTTTTACTACTTCTGGTTCTAATCTTAGTTGTCTTCTTTATTTTGTCATCTTTTATTACTCTTTTGGTGTTCTTTGGCTTGAGTCATTGTTATTACAGGTCGGGGACCTTTGATGACTCTCACTTTTCGTGAATAAAACAGTCTTACTCTTGCTCTGTTCATCTATCAAGTGGTGGTGGTGAGACTTGCCTGAGGACACACTACAACGGTTAATGGTTAATTATCTGTTTAAGTCTAGTTCTCTGATGATTATTTATCTCTTCGCAGTGTTCACTTATTTGAGATAATTTTCTTGCTTTCTGCAGATAAGACACCGTATCTTGGCGCTCTCTATTGCGTTTAACTTTCTCATTTAATTTTGATAAATTACCTAGGCCTAGCACCATGTATAACATTGCCTTAGATGTCATTTGACATAAATTCAAAATATTTAAAATGAAATTAGCCTTTATGTGTTCTCTCTTATGACTGGCATATCCATAGAGTATCTCATGGACATTTTACTATCTTTTGCAGACAAACATACATTCACACATACAACTGTGTACAACTCTTCGGTAAGACGCTTAACTAATATAAAGTCAAGAGAATTATTTCGAACATCAGCTTTTTGTGGTCGAGCTATCCAAGGACTGAAAGTTATGCGCCAGCCATGGGGTGTGCTTCAGAAAACGTCACAAGTCCAACTTAACTTAAGAACACACAAAGTTTTTGACTTGCATTCATGCTTATCTGTCCTCCTCACAAATATTAGCTATTCAGCTCAGATTATAGTGACTGTTAGAGTATGGTTTTTTCCTCATCACTTCTCTTTTTCTTAGCATAAACCTTTTTCATGCCATACTATCGTCTTTAGTTTTCTTTCTCTTGCATGCTGCATGATAGAGCCCTTTATTTTTTTCCATTTATTGTTATTCATCAATTGCTTTTACTGCTACAGATATTCATCATGATTCAGACAGTTTTCTACTGTTTATAAAGATTCGAACTAAATCGAGAGTGAGAAGGGAACATCACTTCAATGATGAATGATATTTCACTGAAAAAATTGGTGATGAATTTCAAATATTCGATTAGTCTTTCTGAGTAGTGATGTTATCACCATTAGATGGTGTTTGGCGAATTTTACGAATCAGTGTGTCTGTTGGTTGT